CAGAAACACAAACTACCATCAGAGATTACTACAAACAATTCTATGCACACAAACCAGTAAACCTGGAAGAAATGGATAAATTCCTGGAGACTTGCTCTCTCCCAAGAGTAAACCAGGAAGAAGTCAAAACCCTGAATAGACCAATAACTAGGGCTGAAATTGAGGCAGTAATCAATAGCCTACCAAGCAAAAAAAGCCCAGGTCTAGATGGATTCACAGCTGAATTCTACCAGACATACAAAGAAGAGCTGGTACCATTCCTTCTGAAATTATTCCAAACAATCCAAAAAGAGGGAATTATTCCCAAATCATTTTATGAGACCAACATCATCCTGATACCAAAACCTGGCAGAGACTCAACAAAACATGTAAACTTCAGGCCAATATCTATGATGAACTTAGATGCAAAAATCTTCAGTAAAATACTGGCAAACAATTGCAACAACACATCAAAAAGCATACAAAAAAATAATAAATCAAAAAGCTTATCCATCATGATTAAGTAGGCTTCATCCAACATACTCCTGCATCTCAATGATCTGCATTCCTGTTCATATTCTGGATTCTATTGCCATCATTTCGTTTATCTTGGCCTGGTTCAGAACCCTTTCTGGAGAGGTGGTGTGGTCATTTGGTAGAAAGAAGACACTCTGGCTTTTCGAGTTGCAGAGTTCTCGCTTTGGTTCCTTATTTGTCTTTCTGTAGGCTGATATTTCTTTAACCTTTGAAGTTGCTGACCTGTGGATGTGTGTTTTTATTTTTCCCTTTTTATCCTATTTGATTGCCTTTAGTGTTTGATTGTGGTATATTGTGGAATCAGCCAACTGGTTTGGTTTTGGAAAATTTTAGTGGGCCATTACTCAGCTCCCAACTCCTGGACTGCACGCTCTACCTCTGGGGGACTTGTATTGGTCCCCACCTTTGTTTTCTCGCTTCTCAAGGCTATGAATCCAGTGAACTTCGGGAGCTGAGGAGCTCCCAGACCTCTGGTCAATACACTTTAATGGGTGATATTAGCCAAAGCATTTCATAGTACAATGGCAGTGGGATCTATCCTAATTTTCATATGGTAGTGGCAGCAGCAGTGCCAGTGTGGCAAGGTGTACACTCATCAGCTATGGCAGAGCACTAGCAGTTTCCAGGGTGTCTGACTCCATGTGGGCATTCAACACAGTAGCAGAGGAAGCATAGCTGGGTGGGGCATGGGGGTCTTTTTGTTTTGTACTTTAGGTTCTGGAGTTCATGTGCCGATAACGCAGGATTGTTGGATAGGTGCATACTTGGCTAGGTGGTTTGTTTCCTCCATCCCCCCACCACTTGCAACTGGCATTTCTCCCCATGTTATCCCTCCCAGCCTCCTCTCCCCTGCTGTCCCTCCCTTAACACCCCCCTACCGACCCCAGCGTGTAATGCTCCTTTCCCTTGTTCATGTGTTCTTGTTGTTCAACACCTGCCTATGAGAGAACGTGCAGTGTTTGGTTTTCTGTTCTTGTGTCAGTTTGCTGAGAATGATCGTTTCCAGTTTCATCTATGTCCCTACAAAGAACATGAACTCATCCATTTTTTAAGGCTGCCTAGTAGTCCATGGTGCATGTGTGCCACATTTTTTTTGTGCACTCTATCATTGATGGGCATTTGGATTGGTTCCAAGTCTTTGCTATTGTAAACAGTGTCGCAATGACCATATGTGTGCTGTGTCTTTATAATAGAATGATTTATAATCCCTTGGGAATATACCCAGGATTGGGATTGCTGGGTCAGATGGTATTTCTATTTCTAAATCCTTGAGAAATTGCCACACTGTCTTCCACAATGGTTGAACTGATTTACACTCCCACCAAGTGTAAAAGTGTTCCTATTTCTCCACATCTTCTCCTGCATCTGTTGTCTCCAGATTTTTTAATGATTGCCATTCTAACTAGCATGAGATGGTATCTCAATGTGGTTCTGATTTGCATTTCTCTGATGACCAGTGATAATTAACATTTTTCATGTTTGTTGGGCTCATAAATGTCTTCTTTTGAAAAGCGTCTGTTCATGTCCTTTGCCCACTTTTGAATGGATTTCTTTTTTTTTTTTTTTCTTGTAAATCTGCCTTAGTTCTTTGTAGATTCTGGATATTAGGCCTTTGTTAGATGGGTAGATTGCAAAGATTTTTCCCATTCTGTTGGTTGCAGGTTCACTCTAATGATTGTTTCTTTTTCTGTGCAGAAATTCTTAAGTTTAATTAGATCCCATTTGTCTATATTGGCTTTTGTTGCCATTGCTGTTGGTGTATTAGTCATGAAGTCCTTGCCTATGCCTATGTCCTGAATCGTTTTGCCTGCATTTTCTTCTAGGGTTTTTATAGTGTTAGGTTTTATATTTAAATGTTTAATCCATCTGGAGTTAATTTTAGTGTAAGGTGTCAGGAAGGGGTCCAGTTTCAGCTTTCTGCACATGGCTAGCCAGTTTTACCAACACAATTTATTAAACAGGGAATCCTTTCCCCATTGCTTGTTTTTGTCAGGTTTGTCAAAGATCAGATGGTTGTAGATGTATGGTGTTACTACCAGGGCCTCTGTTCTGTTCCATTAGTCTATATCTCTGTTTTGGTACCAGTACTGTGTTGTTTTGATCACAGTAGCCTAGTAGTATAGTTTGAGGTGAGGTAGCGTGATACCTCCATCTTTGTTCTTTTTACTTAGGATTGTCTTGGCTATGTGGGCTCTCTTTTGGTTCTATATAAAGTTTAAAGTTGTTTTTTCCAGTTCTGTGAAGAAGGTCAATGGTAGCTTGATGGGGATGGCATTGACTCTATAAATTACTTTTGGCAGTATGGCCAGTTTCACGATATTAATTCTTCCAAATCATGAGCATGGAATGCTTTTCCATCTGTTTGCGTCCTGTCTTATTTCCTGGAGTAGTGGTTTGTAGTTCTCTTCAAAGATGTCCTTTACCTCCTTTGTTAGTTGTATTCCTGTGTATTTTATTCTCTTTGTAGAAATTGGGAGTGGAAATTTTCTCATGATTTGGCTCTCTGTTTGTCTGTTATTGGTGTATAGCAATGCTTGTGATTTCTGCACATTGATTTTGTATCTGGAGACTGATGAAGTTGCTTATTAGCCTAAGGAGATTTTGGGCTGAGACGATGGGGTATTCTACATATGCAATCATGTCGTCTGAAAATAAAGACAATTTGACTTTCTCTTTTGCTATTTGTATACCCTTTGTTTCTTTTTCTGGACTGATTGCTCTGGCTAGAACTTCCAGTGCTATGTTGAATAGGAATGGTGAGAGAAGGTATCCTTGTCTAATGCCAGTTTTCAAAGAGAATGCTTCCAGTTTTTGCTCATTCAGTATGATATTGGCTGTGGGTTTGTCATAAATGGTTTTTATTATTTTGAGATACATTCCATGAATACCTAGCTTATTGAGGGTTTTTAGCATAAAGGGCTGTTGAATTTTGTTGAAGGCCTTCTCTGCATCTATTGAGATGATCATGTGGTTTTTGTTTTTGGTTCTGTTTATTGAAGATTTTTGCATTGATGCTTATGATGGATATTGGCCTGAAGTTTTCTTTTTTGTTGAGCCTCTGCCTGGTTTGGGTATCAGGATGATTTTGGTCTCATAAAATGAGTTGGGGAGGATATCCTCTTTTTGTATTGTTTTGGAATAGTTTCAGTAGGAATGGTACCAGCTCCTCTTTGTATGTCTGGTAGACTTTGGCTGTAAAGCCATCTGGGCCTGGACGTTTTTTGTCTGGTAGGCAATTAATTGCTGCCTCAACTTCAGATCTTTTTACTGGTCTATTCAGGGATTCAACTTCTTCCTGGTTTAGTCTTGGGAGGGTGTAAGTGTCCAGGAATTTATCCATTTCTTCTGGACTTGCTGGGTTATATGCATAGAGTTGTTTGTAGTAATCTCTGAGGGTGGTTTGTATTTCTGTGGCTTTGGTGGTGACGTATCCTTTATCATTTTGTATAGTATCTATTCGATTTTTCTCTCTTTTTTTTATTAGTCTGGCTAGCAGTCTGTCTATTTTGATAATTTTTGAAGGAACCAGCTCCTGGTTGTACTTATTTTTTGAAGGTTTTTTTGTGTTTCTATCTGCTTCAGCTCCACTCTGATCTTCATTATTTCTTATCTTCTGCTACTTTTGAGTGTTTTTGATCTTGCTCCTCCAGTTCTTTCAACTTTGATGATAGGGTGTCAATTTTAGATCTTTCCTTGCCTCTTGTGTGGGCATCTATTACTAGTAGTTTCCCTGTAGACAGTGCTTTAAATGTGTCCCAGAGATTCTGGTACGTTGTGTCTTCTTTCTTATTGGTTTAGAAGAGCATCTTTATTTCTGCCTTCATTTCATTGTTTATCCAGTCAACACTCAGAAGTAAGTTGTTCAGTTTCCATGTAGTTGTATGGTTTTGAGTGAGTTTCTTAATCCTGAATTCTAATTTGATTGTGCTGTGATCTGATAGACTGTTCGTTATGCTTTCCATTCTTTTGCATTTGCAGAGGAGTGATTTAGAGTAAGTGCAATGTGGTGCTGAAAAGAATGTATATTCATTGGCTTTGGGGTGGAGCATTCTGTATATGTCTATTAGGTCCACTTGGTCCAGATCTGTGTTCAAGTCCTGGATGTCCTTGTTAATTTTCTGTGTCTTTGATCTGTCTAAAGTAGATAGTGGAGCATTGAAGTCTCCCACTATTGTCATGTGGGGGTCTAAATCTCCTTTTAGGACGTTAATAACTTGCTTTATGTATCTCGGTGTTCCTGTATTGTGTGTGTATATATTTAGGAGTTAGCTCTTCTTGTTGGATTGATTCTTTTGCCATCCTAATGCCCTTTCTTGTCTCTTTTGATCTTTGTTGGTTTGAAGTCCATTTTATCAGAAACTAAGATTGCAGCCCCTGCTCTTTTTTGGTTCTCCATTTTCTTGGTAAATCTTCTTCCATCCCTATATTTTGTGTCTATGTGTGTCTTCGCACATGAGATGGGTTTCCTGAATATGGCACACCAATGGGTCTTGACTTTTTATCCAGCTTGCCAGTCTATGTCTTTTGATTGGGGCATTTAGACGACTTACATTGAACGTTAATATTGTTATGTGTGAATTTGATCCTGCCATTTTGTTACAGGCTTGCTTTTTTGCCCGTTAGTTGTCTCTGTTTTTTCATTGCATCATTGGTCTTTACCATTTGGTGCATTTTTGCAGTGGCTGGTACTGGTTGTTCCTTTCCATGTTTAGTGCTTCCTTCAGGAGCTCTTATAAGGCAGGCCTGGTGGTGACAAATTCTCTCAGCAATTGCTTGTTTGTAAAGGATTATATTTCTTCTTCACTTATGAAGCTTAGTTTGGCTTGATATGAGATTCTGAGTTGAAAGTTATTTTCTTTTAGGATTTTGAATATTGGCCCCCACTCTCTTCTGGCTTGTAGCGTTTCTGCCAAGAGATCTGCTGTGAGTCTGTTGGCTTCCCTTTGTAGGTGACCCGACCTTTCTCTCTGACTGCCCTTAGTATTTTTTCTTCACTTCAACCCTGGTAATTCTGACGATTAGGTGCCTTGGGGTTGCTCTTCTTGAGGAATATCTTTGTGGAGTTCTCTATATTTCTTAGATTTGAATTTTGGCATGCCTTGCTAGGCTGGGGAAGTTCTCCTGGATAATATCCTGTAGAGTGTTTTCCATCTTGGATTCATTCTCCCTGTTACATCCAGGTACACCAATCAAAGATAGATTAGGTCTTTTCACTTCATCCCATATTTCTTGGAGGCTTTCTTCATTTCTTTTCAGTCTTTTTTCTGTAGTCTTTCCTTCTCATTTTATTTCATTGAGTTGATCTTCAATCTCTGATACCCTTTCTTCTGCTTGATTGATTCAGCTATTGAAACTTGTGTTGGCTTCATGTAGTTCTCTTGCTGTGTTTTTCAGCACCATCAAGTGATTCATGTTGTTCTCTACACTGGTTATTCTAGTTAGCATTTTGTCTAACCTGTTTTCAAGGTTTTTAGTTTCCTTGCAATGGGTTAGTACATGTTCCTTTAGCTCAGAGAAATTTGTTATTATCCACCTTCTGAAGCCTGTTTCTGTCAATTCATCAAACTCATTCTCCATCGTGTTTTGTTTTTTTTTGCTGGTAAGGAATTGTGATCCCTTGAAGGAGAAGAGGCATTCTCGTCTTTGATAGTTTCATCCTTCGTGCGCTGGTTCCTTCCCATCTTTGTGGATTTATCTAGCTTTGATCTCGGGGAGCTGCTTGATGAGGTCACTTGTCTGCCTGTGGAGGTGCTTCTGGGTTGCCAGGGACTCCACCCAGTTGCTACAGAGGCTTCCTGTGTCTTTTTGTTTACACGGGGAGATTAGGCTTGCTTCTTTAATGGGGGGCGAGCCTCCTTCCGCTGACCTCAAGGTGCTGCTGGGTTGTCAGTGACTCAGTCTGGTTGCTGCATAGGCTTCCTGTGTTTTTTGTTTATGCATGGGGATTAGGTCTGCCTCTTTAATGGTGGGTGCCATTTCCACCACAGAGCTGGGTCATTCAGGGTTCAGCTCGGACTGAAGCACTGGCTGTGAAACCCTCAAGTGTCAGGGCTTCAGCCTGTTGGGGTTTGTGGGGGATGAACCTACCCAGCCACACCGTCTGTCTCCCTTCTTTCAGCTCTCTCTCTTTCTGGGCAGGAAGGGGGTGGTATCTTGGTCTGCAGGCTCTCCTGGCTGGCTTATGCATTTGCTTAGATCTGTGCTGACAGTCTGTGGCACTGGCTCAGATTATTATTCAACTCTGTTCTTGCAATTCCTGGCACTTGACCAGCGAAGATCCCCTGTTCTGTGGATTGCTGAGGCTTTGGGGGAAGCACTGTATCTGGACTGGGGTGCTGTGGGGTAGCCCCCAATTCTCTAGTCAGATGCACTTTCTGGGTGAAGCAGCATGCCTCCCCACCTTGGTCTGCCCTGCCTGGTCTATGCTCACTGTCTGTCCAGTCCCGTTGAAATGAACCTGGTACTGTGGTTGGAGCTAGCAGATCTCTCACTTTTTGCATCTCTTTCGCTGGGTGTTGCACATTGGAGTTGTCTCTATTCAGCCATCTTGTCCCCCTTGGGCATGGGGGCCTTTACGGGTGACTGTACACAGTCACTCGAGTGGTCATGTTAGCATGGAGGCAGGACACTGGCTGGTGCTGGTTTTTGTGCATTTTCTGTGCAACCCCACAGGCAGGGGTTGTTGGGTGGGTGGGTGGTGCAGGGAGGCAGGGTTTACTGTTCTCTGTGCCTAGTTTCACTCTGGTGGCAGTGTTGATGTAAGGGCAGGGTGCTGGTGGGGGCGAGGCTGGCTGGTTCCATGACCATGAGCTCTCTGAATGTGCTGGTGGTCCAGCAATGGGGGTGGAGGGTGGAGTACACTCTTCCTGTAGCATTGTCAAGGATGAGTGGACACACCTGGCATTCTGGTGGGACAAGGAAGGCAAAACCCATCCACACACACAGGCATTGGCAAAGTGATGTCAGGGGTTGTTGTAGGCCTGGAGGAAACTGCAATGTCATGAGGGAGAGGGTTATTTGGTGAGTTGATGTGCTGCAGTAGCATTTGCTCCACTGGAGTTCTGCACTGGTCAGACATAGTCCACCAGGGCAAAAGCTATGCTGTGGTCTCCAGGGCACCTAAAAATGCCCTCAAAGCATCTGTATCCAGTCCGGGGCCCCAGGAGAGGCCAGCAGACCAAGAAGTGCTCAGGTGGCCCCATTTGTTGAGCAAGAACACCCTGCAAAATTCAGGTCCAATAGTTCCCATAGGGCTAAAATCTCCTATGGGAGCAAGTTGAGTCTCTGTAGATAAGCTCCCCTGGCCATTCTATGCTATGCATGCTCCCACACCAAACTTTCTAGGCATCCCTTCAGATGACATGCTGCCTCTACCACTTCTCTACACAGCTCTCTCTGCCAACCTTAGTATTCCGTGGTAACTGAGGGGTATCCTCCTGCTGGGATTACAGAGGCCTGTGGCAACAGTAGGTTTCTCCTTGCCAGTCCAACTTACGCATTACTCTGGAATCTTTCAGGGCCAGGAATGAGGCCCAATGTGCAGTAGCCCCATAGAGTGTTTGTGAAATATCTTTCTTTTTTTTCTTTTCTTGGTGTTCTCTTCAATTTCTTTCTTCAATGTTTTATTGTTTTCATTATAGAGATCTTTCACTTCCTTGGTTAAGTGCTAGGTATTTAATTTTATTTATGGCCATCGTAAATGGGATTACTTGTTTAAACTTCTTTTCTTAACTATTGGCATATAGAATTGCTACTGATTTTTGTATATTGATTTTGTTTCCTGCAACTTTAGTTAATTTATCAGTTCTAATAGTTCTTTGTGTAGTCTAGATTTTTCCAAATGTAAGACGATATTATATGGAAACAAGGATAATTTAACTTCTTCCTTTCCAATGTGGGTGACCTCTATTTCTTTCTCTTGCCTGTTTGGTCTTCCTAAGACTTCCAGTACTATGTTGAATAACAGCAGGGAAAGTGGGCATTTTTGTCATTTTCTACATCTCAGAGGAAAGACTTTCAGTTTTTCTCTATTCAGTATGATGCTAGCTGTGGGTCTGTCATATATTGCTTTTATTATATTGAGGTATGTTCTTACTATACTCAGTTTTCTGAAGGTTTTTTTTTTACATAAAGCGATAATGTATTACATCAAACGCTATGTCAGCATCATCTGAAATGATCATATGGCTTTTGTCCTTCACTCTGTTTATATGATATATCAAATTAATTTGCATATGTTGAAACATTTTTGCATCCCATGAATAAATTTCAATTGGCCATGATGAATGATCTTTCTAATGTATTGTTGAATTCTGTTGGCTAGTATTTTTTGAGATTTTTTTTTTTTTTGAGATGGAGTCTTGCTCTGCTGCCTAAACTGGATTGCAGTGGTACAAACTTGGCTCACTGCACCCTCTACCTCTTGAGTTTCAGCAATTCTCCTGCCTCAGCCTCCCTAAGAGCTGAGACCACAGGAGTGTGCCACCACACTCAGCTAAGTTTTGTATTTTTAGAAGAGACAAGGTTTCACCATGTTGGCCAGGCTGGTCTCAAACTCCTGACCTCAGGTGATCCACCCACCTCAGCCTCCCAAAGTGCTGGGATTACAGGTGTAAGAGTTTTGAGGATTTTTGCATCAATAGTCATCAGAGATATTGGCCTATAGTTTTCTTATTTTGATGTGTCTTTGTTTCTGATTTAGTATTAGAGCAATACTGGCCTTTTAGAATGAGTTTGAAAGTATGTCCTCCCCCTCTATACTTTGGGATTGTTTTAGTATGATTGGTATTAGTTTGTCTTTATATGTTTGCTAGAATTCAGCAGTGAAGCCATCAGGTCCTTGGCTTTTCTATACTGAGAGACTTGTTATTACAGCTTCAATCTTGCTAATTTTTATTGGTCTGGTGTGTTTTTTATCTGTGTTCCACACAAGTCTCATGTCAAGTTGTAATCCCCAATGTTGGAGAAGGGGCCTGTAGGAGGTTATTAGATTGTGAAGGCAATTTCTCATGAATAATTTAATACTACCCCTCTTGTTCTTATAATAGTGAGTTCTCATGATATCTGGTTGTTTTAAAGTACATAGCATCTCCCACCTCATTCTCTTGCTCCTGCTCCCACCATGTAAGATGCCTCATTTTCCCTCTGCCTTCTGCCATGATTGTAAGTTACCTGAGACTTCCTCAGAAGCTGTGTGGATGCCAGAATCATGCTTCTTGTACAGCCTGCAGGACCATGAGCCAGTTAATCCTTTTTTTCTTAATAAATTACCAAGTGTCAGGTATTTCTTTATAGTAATTAGAGAATGGACAAATACATGATCTATTCAAGTTTTGGATTTCTTCCTGGGGGGTTCAATTTTGGTAGGTTTTATGTGTTCATAAATTAGTCATTTTCTTCTATATTTTCCAGTTTTTCAGCATACTCTTGCTCATAGTAGACACTAATGATCCTTTGAATTTCTGCAGTATTAATTGAACTGTCTCCTTTTATATTTCTGATTTATTTTGATCTTATCTATTTTTTTCTGAGCTAATCTGGCTAAACTTTTGTCAATTTGTTTAACTTAAAAAAACTTTTTGTTTCATTCAGGTTTTGTATTGTTTTCTTCATTTTAATTGTATTT